TGGAAATCTGTTTGGATCTGTTTTATGGATTCCATTTGTTTCCTATGTTGGGATTCCATCATGTTCCTCAGCTCCTCTACTTTTTTATCTGTGTCCTCTCTAAATTTATTAATCATGTCTTGAACTATGGGCACAATCTCTGCTGTTATGTGAGAAATTATTTCTGATTTCATTTTTTCCAGATCCTCTTTTGTTGCCAACTCAGGGAGTCCAGGTTTTTGAGTGTCAGTGCCCCATTTTTTTCCTTTTAGGGTTGCTTTAGATGATCTGGAAGTCTGGCTATGAGACTTGTTTATGTGTTTTCTCATTTTAATGGGGGGGGGGCGTTGCTGTTGGCCCCCTCGTGAAAGCTCACCTCCTCTGTGCTGGGGGCGGTGGTGGTATGGCAGCCCAGAAGCCTCCACTTGGGTGCTAGGAGTGGCTCACTTCCTTTGTGCTGGGAGTGGTGGTGGTTTGGCAGCCTAGAAGGCTCCACTTGGGTGCTGGGAGTGCTCACTTGAAATTTTAAAAGAACACTTCTGTGTGCCAGGTCCAGGCCACCAGTTTGGGATCTTGGCACTAGAAGGATGATTTTGAAACTTCAAGCCTGGGTAACTGATCTGTGCTGATCTACATGGCTATTACTAGTGCTCTCACACTGGATGTGTGGAAGGCTGGATGTACTTGGCGAGGGCTGGATACAGTTGAGAATAGCTCCCAATTGCAGCCTGGGATGCTCGCCTGCACAGCTGGCTTCACGGCGATGGCGGCTGCCGTCTGCACCGAGGCCAAGCACAGTGGTGGGACTGCGGACTGAGCCCCCGAGGCGGGTGGTGGATATAGGGCATGGGAAGGCATGAGGGGTAATTGGTAGGAATTTTTAAAAAGTATTCTTCCTAGTTAAATACATTCACATGTGTTTGTAAATGGTTAGCTTAAGGCAACAATGCCTTTATCTATAGGATTATCTATAAGTGAAGGAACCTCAGGCATTTGGCAAAAGTATTTGAGGACACTTATAAACCAACGGTTGGTAGGTGCCTGTTCCTCCTATCAGCCTGTTATGGTTTGGATCATAAATGCCCCCAAAGACAAAAGTGCTGAAGGTTGGTTGCCAGCCTGTGGCACTGGTGGGAGGTGGAAGGACCTTTAGTAGGTGGGTCCAGGTAGAAGAAAGTTAGGTCATTGGAGGGGTGTCCTTGTAAAGGTTATGAGAATCTTGGACCTTCTCTCTTTTTATTTCACTTTGTGGCTGCCATGAAGTAAGTAGCTTCCTCTTTCATGAGTTCCTATCTTGTCATAGGCCCAAAGTAACAGCCAAGGAACCATGAACTGAAACCACTGAAACTATGAGCCATATTAAATCTTTCCTCCTTTAAGTTGTTTATCTCAGGCATTTTGTGATATGATAGAAAACCGACTAACATACAGCCCTAGTGGTTACCTTGGTCCACTCCAATTACCAAACCAATCAGTCTCAAGTATCTGGTGATGGTTAGAATTCTCTTCCAAACCCAGCTGGTCCTTGCATGATTTGAGGGATTCATGAAAATCCAAATTTAGTGTCCCCTTCTTTGCCCAACACATGAAGTACTTGTCACCTCCAGGGCCATCTCTGCTGAAGTGATCTTACCTCATACTGCCCATCTTGGCCAGGCTATATAGTAGTTTAGTTGCTACCATACCAAGCTGGTTTCTACCATGGGATGGGCCCTTAAGTAATATCCAGTCCTCCTCAAGGCCAAGTTCATCTGTTACTCTGGCTTGCTCAGTCCTTTTCCTTGGAACTGGAACTCTGCTACCTCCTGAATATGAATAGCCCACATGCCTGCCTTCCACATGGATTCCCGATAATATATTCTATTTCAGATTGGAAGCCCCTAGAATTGTACTTTTGACTATGTTGTTTCTTTAAACAATGCTTCAGTTTCCCAGCTTCCACCTTAAATGTAGCTCTGCAGGATTACTCTGCCCTTTCCATCTAAAGCTTAAAGCCATGCATCCATCTCTAATTTCTATTTCTGGGAACAACCCATAATGCCTGCACTAAAGGAAATCTAAAATATGGCTTCTAGGTTGAATGAATAACCACATAAAGCAAGCATCAGGCATTTGTTTTACCTCTTTTATTGGCTGTGAAATGATGCTCTCATATTTCATGTTTCTTCCTACTAAAGACTGTTCCAAAGTGCCTAGAACACTTCCTACAAATTTTGGATATTTCTGTAGCCATAGTTTTTATATTTATTTTTTCTGGATGTTTTCAGCTTAGCTTGTCTGTCTCCATGGTTAGCTTGTCTGTCTCCATGTTTAACTTGTCATGAGTAGACTGAGAAAGGACAATTACTTAACAAGGAGTTATGAAAGCTATTTGAAAAGTCTTTTGATCATCATGTGGCACCTCACTAAATGCACCAATTCATAGGCACAGTTAATGTTTATTCCAGCCTTTATAGTTCTCAAACATGGCAGAGTTCATTAGTTCTTTCTGATATAAATGGAAACATGCTGTGGATTAACAAAGAAATAAACAGTAAGTACCACAGTGCTAAAAAATACATCTTTTTAAAGAAGCACTAGCTTTCATAAAAGGGATGAGACCCTAGTTCTTTTTCTGACATTTATTTTTGGCATGCCTTGGGCATATTATTTGACTTAGCTGGTCTTTATTCCCTCTTAGAAAATGGAGAGAAGGATGGAGAGTAGCATATTAAGCTAACTCCAAATCATTATGAAAGTAAAACAACTTCTAGGATTATGAATCCTCCATCCAGGATTATGAGAAAGCATTTTGGAGTAAGAACTATAATAGCAGCTTCCCTGGATGTAATACTCAGGCCCAGAGCATTCCACTCAGTGTTCTTCACAGTGGGCCCTATGAGATGGAATAGTCCAGCTTTACCGTGATAGTCTATCACCTGTGAGTTGGACTTGAATTTTTGTTTTAACTTTTAGGGTTCTCCCCACTAAGATGTAAAACCCAAATATCAAATCAAAAGTATGAACATTTTAGAAAAAGTGGGGAAATCCCAATCACAGTATTACCCATTTCTACCCACTGGTACCTTGCTATGATCTTGGAACTTCTCTCTCAGGACATTTTGGCCACATGCTTCCATTGAAAGTGACAGTTCAGAGCTGTGTGGCTCATGAAATCTCTCCCACAGCACTCACAGTTGTAAGATTTCAGAGCCCATATCCTTGTCCACCAAAGTTTTTGTTCCTGTTGATTAAAAAAATAGCATTGGTCCACTGCCATCCCAAGCTCCTAGGGCAGAGAAGGTGAGCCGGTCCCAGCACCCAGAAGGAAGCTCCCCTGCTGCCATCTCAAGCTCCTAGGGCAGAGAAGGTGAGCCGCGTGGGCGCCAGAAGCACCCCCACCTCCACCATGGAAATGAGAAGACACATAAACAAGCCTCAAACAGCCTCTGATTGCCCGAGGAAATAATTTGGCCAACTAGACAGCTCGAAAAATGGCCCTAGAAGCTGATCTGACCCTGACCACTCAGCTCCCCGATCCAGGGGGCGCTGCCTTACCAGAAACTCCCCAGTATACCGAGGCAGACTTAAAGTGGATAAAACAACTGCCCATGGCCCAATGCCTCAAAAGATGGTGGAGATCGTCTGACTGTAGAGTCATCCTGCTTGAAGCACTGGGAGAACAAGTTCTCTCCAAAATGCACTGGGCCACCCACATGGGCACTCGAAAAATGCAAGACCTCCTGAAGTTGAGCGTATCGTTGCCACCTGCAAAGCCTGCCAATTGACAAATGCTACTCACAATAAAGCCAACCCAGGCAACAGATTGAGAGGAAACTGACCTGGCGTATACTGGGAATTGGACTTTACTGAGGTAAAACCTGGAAGGTATGGTTACAGGTACCTGATAGTTTTTGTAGACACTTTTTCAGGATGGACAGAGGCCTTTCCCACCAAACATGAGACGGCACAGATTGTGGCTAAAAAGTTACTAGAAGACATCTTGCCAAGGTATGGTTTCCCAGTAATATTAGGGTCAGACAATGGACCCGCCTTCATTTCCAAGGTGAGTCAAGGTTTAGCACAGGTACTGGGGGCCATTGTGCTTACAGACCCCAGAGTTCAGGGCAGGTAGAAAAAATGAACAGAGCTCTAAAAGAGACCTTAACTAAATTAACCTTAGAGACTGGCGGTGACTGGGTGATTCTTCTTCCTTTTGCCCTCTATGGGGTACGCAATTCTCCCTATAAGATGGGACTAACTCCCTTTGAAATCATGTTTGGGGTGCTCCCTCCCATTAAAACTGTTGTCTTCCTTACAAAGCCTCCAGTGTGTTCACAAAGACATCTGGCCTAAATTAAAGGCCCTGTTCAAGTCCGGACCACCTCCCGAGCCCCATCGCTACTGGGTCTTTGTCCGGAGACATCAACAGAAGGACCTTGAGCCTCGTTGAAAAGGACTCTATGTTACTGTCCTGACCACGCCCACCACTCTCAAGGTTGACGGGATTGCCTCGTGGGTACACTATACTCACGTCCGCCCCGCAGATCCACACACTGTTCTAGAGGATTACATCCCCTTATGGCAGGTGTCCAAAAACCGCGACAATCCTCTCAAGCTCAGACTGTGTCTTCGACGGTCATAATTATGAAAAGACTTTGTGCTGCCCTCCGTAAAAAGTGTTGTTTATCTCTTCTCTACTGGGCCCCTTGCTTAACCCTTGGAGAACGTGTTAGCTCTGTATAATTAATGGTGCTTAGGTCCCAGTAGATTTAACCCTCCGAGACCCATGATTGGGCCTCTAAAGTTACACGTGAAGGGGAGAATGTGAGACCTAAAACCACAAGCTGTACTTTGCCCACCTGCTTGTGATAAGTGTTCAGCCGTCCCCTGGCAACAGCTACCCCAATGTCCCAGGTGTAACCGTTTGCAGCTTGGGTGCGCAAGGCACAACCAATCAGGTTTAATTGCCAATCTAGAACCTTGCTGTAACTACTATAAAAACCCCTGCTGATTTGGAGTCAGGGCTCTCAATCTTGACCCGCTGCGGCAGTGACGGTTGGGAGTCCCTGCTCGAGCTTGAATAAACGACCCTCGTGTGTTTACATCGGAATCGGCTCCTTGGTGGTCTTTGGGGACCTCGAAATCTGGGCACAACAGAAAGTGTGGCCTAAAATTATACAGGAGAGAAACTTTATTTTTTTGGTACTGGGGATTGAACTCGGGACCTTGCACTTGCAAGGCAGGTGCCAGAACCACAGAGCTAAATTCCTGGCCCCAGGAGAGAAACTTTGAAGACTGTCGACCAACTTGAGTTATGTATGACCAGTCCTCAGGAACAAACTTAGCTCATAAGTCAAGGGTCCACTGTATAACTCATACTTTTTTATTTGTATATTTCTTTGTGATTATTGATACTGGACATTCAAATGGAATGTGGCACTTTGGAAATCAGATTCTCCCCTCCTGTGTTTTGTTGCTGTTGTTGCTACTGCTTGTTATAGTAATTTGTCTAGTGATTTCCATGAGCTGATTCTCTAGTCTGTGTATTTGTCATGTTTGGACACTGAAGTCTTTACTTGGTAGCACAGTGATCAGAGGTTTCCTTAAACACCTAGAACCAATGTCTCCCAGTCTTTCCCAAGAGGCTTCACATGCATGTTGGGCACGATTAATACTGTCTGCCAGTTGACAACTCTGTCTTAGTCCTGACTTTCTGCTTTCATAGACTATCAGTCAGTCACATGCGAGAGTCAAAGAGTTTCTCAGGTTTCTTCTGGACAATATGTATAGCCTCAGACATGCACATGGTCTCTTAGATTTCCAGGAATATATTGGTATTTTTAGAAGCTATTTTGGACATTCCGTTCCTCAGCTTTTTTAAAGCTTCTCAGTTATTTGTCTCAAGCAATCATGATACTAAAATGCTCAGTAAACACTCCTTTTCCCACAGGCTTTAAACACTGAATTCAATGAGATAGCTCCTATCGAGTAGAATCTTCCAAGGAACTACCAGTTGGCCAAATATTGATTATTTTGTGGGGATGAGGTTCATTCTGCCCCCTGCATTATCAGAAACGCAGGCTATTTTTCAAGACTGCTGCTGAACTGAGTAACAGGTATGGCATTAAGTTAAAATGCCACAGAACTCATTTTCTTTTTTCCATTAAGTTTATTGGTACATTTTAGGTATACACTACAGTTACATTCATCATTGGGATCTTGTACCTTTACATGATGTATCTTGGTTCTGATTTTTCCCCCATTCCCCTGCCCTCCCTTCACCCCCTCCACCCTTCCCTATTTACAAAGACTTTGTTTCCATTTTTTTCATTTTCTCATTTTTTCTTCATTATCTTTCCCCTAAACCTCATACTTCCCCTACTCCTTTAGACCTTTTCTTCCTATTTCACATTATCAATTATACATTGATTAAACTTTTAGTTTCTCACATAAGAGAAACTATTCAGTATTTACATATGTGTCCTATTTCACTTAGAGTATGGCCTCAATGTGTATCCATTTAGTTATGAAGGTCTTTAGTTTCTCATTCTTTATGGCTGAGTAGTACTCCATTTTATTTAAAACCCCCACATCTTCATCTAGTCTGATGGGGAATTGGGCTGTTTCCAAGTTTTAGCTATCACAAATTGTGCTGCTATAAACATTGGTGAGCATATATCACTGTGGTGTGATTCTTTTAATTTGGGGAAGATACCCAGCAGGGGAAGAGCTGGGTCAAATGGGACCTCTAGTCCTAGTTCTTTGAGGTATCTCCATACTGACTTCCACAGTGGTTGCACTAGTCTGCACTCCCACCAGCAGTGGAGAAGGGTTCCCTTCTCCGAACACCCCCACCAGCATGTTATTGATTTAGTGAGCGCAGCCATTCTTTCTGGGGTGAGGGGGAATCGGTGTTGTTTTCATCTGCATCTGTAGAATGACCAACACACTGACTCCTCTTGATTCTCTTGTGCTGACTTGACCTCATCTCCAAATTTCCTTTTGATCTATAAGGACAACTTTGATAACTATTTTATTATGCAATTGTGTTTTTATGAGTGTGAAACTGAAAATTACTGTATGTGCAAATAAGGATCTTGAATTAAGCTTAGCCAACAATAGAATTCATAGTGGTCCCAATGTGCATTTACCTTCAACGAGACTTTGGCTAGTTGACTGGATGTCATCCAAGCAAAAACAAAAAGTATAAAAGCACAAAGAATGGGAAACTTTTCACCAATTAATGGATGTGGAAGGTAGAGTGATAACTTAAAAGTCGTTTTTGCTCTCTGATAATAAAACATGCTTCTGCAGCATTTAAGTCAACTGTTAGTTTGCATACAAGTGTTAGTAAACACTGATGATTTTTGTGTGTGTTGGGAGAGGGGAAGCTTTATGTTGAGAGCTGAAGGAAAACAGAAAAGATATAACCAAACCAAATTCTTCTGTACCATGAGTTCTCAAAGTGATTTTGAAAAACAGGGAAACGTTTATTATTCTCCATCCAAAAGATCTACTGGAATCAAAGCATTCCTTAGACTTATAGTGGATTTTAGTTCAACTGTTTACTGTGGATATGTGAATAAAAAGTATAAAAAAATTTACCCAGAATTTTAAAATCAAAATCTTTGCAACTTCTAAGAGTATCTGCCTATACAAGAGTAATGCTCTTCATAAAACATTTTAAAAAGACATAGTATTAAAGATTCTGTAACCCCAGAAAGAGGACTTTGGGCATGGGAGTTAAGAGATTTAGTAAATTTGCCCCCAAATGTCCAACTTGAAATCCTAATAATTACTGTAAATAAGTACTGTTGCTAGCACCCATATCTGAAAGCCTAAAAAATTCTCAATTCCCCCTCAAAACTACTTAGGGGGACAGGACAAACCTCCTTTTATCGACCTGACCGGAAACATAACTATGGCAATGTCCCTTCAAAAATGGTGTGTACTCACACTCCCAACTCTACGTGAATCAAAGCAAGGAATGTTGTCTCATCTTCAGACTAATATAGTGTGTTCCTTGGCTTCAGCAGCACAAGCAGGTCTGTATCTCATACTGATTTAGTTGTGTATTATCACTGTACTTATTGCTACCTAGAGGACTGAGTGTTGGCGAGAATTGCTTCAGTCCAATTGTCCTGGATGTTACAACACTCGGCAGGGGAAAGGAGTTGCTAACAGCACGTAGTGGCTTCAAGCTGCAAATGGTATTAAAAGGGCAGGGTTGACATTAAACAGCCAATCATGTACAAGACAGCTGCCCACAGCAAAGAACTATCCAGCTCAAATGTCAACAGTATGAGCTTGAGAAACCTCAAGTTATGCGCAGTAAGTATACTGGGGGTACTGGTGAGATAGGAAGAGAATTAGGACAGACAATACAGAGCTTTCCTTTCATAATCTGAGAAGAAATACCACTTTATAGCTGTATTTTTTCAAATCTGAAGAGTGCACACAATGTTTGTATTTAAATACTTTTTATTTCACAAAAAAAGCAACAGTGTTTGCAGTTACACATGCCTTTCAATCAGTGCTGGTCATATGCAAAACAAGTTATTAGAAATATAAAGAAAAATAAGCCTTTCCCTTTACAAGTGAAACACCACAATTTGCATATACAATATTATATATACATATTTTCAAAATCTTCCACAAAAGACAGATTTTCATGATACAAATTTAGAATTCCATCCACAAGCTCAGACTGAAGGAATTAAAAGATCTCTATAGGTGTTTAAATACAAAAATGTAATACACTTACAGTTTTCCAAGTAATTACTTTCCAAAGTATTGAAGGAGACTATTTTTCACAGCAACATGAAACATTTGGCTTTAATCAAGGCAGGTGTGAGACTAAGGTTTGTCTCAACATGAGCTTGTTGGTTAATGCAAATACTCCAATTAAGCTGTAATTCTCACTGTATATACACATACACACAAATGTACTACTGTACTGATGGTTTATACAGTCTGACTTCTGGAGCAGTTCATTCCGCTAAGCCATGACCTTTACTTCCTTTGAAGTATTTCAAATTAAGAACTGTTCAAAAATAACACTAATGACTACCATGACTAATTCCAAAAATGTGCCCCTTTCTCTTATTTATGATCAAAGTTAAATGTGTCATGAAAACTTTTATTTTTTTCTACAGCAGCAGGTATAATTAACAGCAACATATAGGCTAATTTTTCAACACTAGAACCTGAGAGTTTTTTAAATAACATCTTGAAATTTTTCTAGGAGTCCTATCACTCGATGATAAATAATGATATGGCAAATCTTCAGCATGGAACAGCATCACTATATATGTGAAAACAGAACATATAACGCCAAAAGGAAGGAAGGAAGGAAGGCAGGCAGGCAGGCAGGCAGGCAGGCAGGCAGGCAGGCAGGAAGGCAGGCAGGCAGGCAGG